AGGGAGGAAAGTTACTTGGAGAAAAAAGGAATTGCGCTCCTTTTTCCATGTTGGACGTCCAAAACATTTTGTGTTTAAAAAAAAAAGGTGTTTTGGGAGATTGCTCCACGCTGCCTGTGGTTTAAAAAAAAAAAATAAAACTCTTTTTTTTGGGCTTGGCTTTCCAAGACTATCAACTTCCATTTTTAAAAAAAAACAACGACGCAGAGCGAGCTGAGCTGTTGTTTGGTGATGTAACGCTGCTGGTAATAGAAAAACATGCATTTTGCGCAGAGAGAGAGGGTGAAACCCTGGTAATTTTCCATATTCCGAGTCAGCGGGGTTTAATAAGTAAAATACGGGCCTAAGTTTTAAGATTTTTTGTTTTTTGTGTTTGCGTTTGAGAGAAAAAAAAAGAGCGCTGTTTGGTGCTGCGTTTTTCGGAGAAAGTTTGTATATATTTCTGTTCTGCGTGTGTGATGGTCTTTGCGCGCTTGCTCATTGTTTAATGTTAACTCGAATCTTTGAATTCCACTTCCAGAGTAGAGAAACAATTAGAAAGAGAAATGACAGCGAACGTGTGAACGCAAAAAGACGGAAGTTGAAGCCTGTTGAAGGTGGTGTGAAATTCATTTGTGACTGGAAAGCTTTCAAGAGCGTGGTGTTCTCCTGATACGCAGACGGAATTTGTAAATATGCCCGCGCTGGTGGCAGGACTCCCCTCTCAAACTTTTATTTACATTCTCTTAACCTTTAGTTTTTTTTTTTTGCTTTTGGTATATTCTCTGGTCACATTCTTTGAGGGACCCATTTTGCTTGTTTTTGTGGTTTCAAATCTTGGGGGGGTTTTTACCGAATTAAAGAACACGGTACGGGCTTTTACCAGTGGGAAAATTGGTTGTAGTGTTAAAATTTTTGAAACCAAAAACCTAGATTATCTGATACAAAATTCGCGGTGCCTTGTTTGTTTTAAAAACGGTCGGGGGGCATTGGGCTTTCCACTTAAAAACAAAAAGTGGAAAGTTTAAAGGGCACCTCTGCCGGCTCTTCTTCAAAAAATAAATTTCACTAATTTTTTCCAGTTTTTAAAAAAACCCTTTCTTGTTATGTGCAAAGGACCGAGGGGGGCTTTTCCGAGGGGATTTCGGCCTCTCTGAGGTTTTTTACAAAGAAGTGGTACCAAAAAAAAACCATTAAAACAAAATCCCTTGCCCTTTTTTTGGGTTTTGGGGCCAATCAGCCCTTTCCCAAAATGGGTTGGCCTCCAAAATTTTTTAAATTAGCCCACCAGTTTTCACCCAAGTAACAGAGAACATTTCCCACGCTATTTCATTTCCCACGGTTATTGATTGAACACGTTTTCTAATTTCATCATTTTGACCAGAACAAAATAGATTTAAAGTTTTTTTGCCTTTGGTTCGTGTCCCCATGGAAAATGTTAAAAAAAGGGATGGCTGGCTTTGAAAAGGGGGTTTGATCGTTTTAAATCTTCCCAATGCCCGTCTTGATATCAATAATATCCAACTTTTCATTGAGCTTCCAAAAAAAACTAAAAAAAAATTGGGACCCCAAAAGAAAGGCGAAAAAGAACAAATTTTGATAAGAAAGAAAACTTTTTTGACTTTTACAGTTATTCGATAAATCATAGATTGGGGAAGACGGAGATAATGACGGGCTTTTCACACTGTGGGGCATGAGCTTACGAGGCCCCAACAACCCCAACCACTGCTGCTGAATTTGAATTTGAAAAGGTTAAGGGTTCAAAACCTTCAAACCGACACCCAGGATATTTCAAAGGCCAAAAAATCAACAATTTGAAAAACAAAAAAAAAAATGGAAAACAAAGGAACTTTTGGGAAAAATGCTCTTCATGGGAAAAAGCGGGGGATTACTCGAACGGGTTTTTTTTAATCTCTGCCAACCCTTTGGGTTAAATCAATACTGCCCAGATACAAAGTCTTTACATTCTCTGGAAAAATTTTTGTGGGGGCTTTAATTTTGATTTACCGAGGCCTAAAAACGCCGGGCTCCACGGAAAAAGTATCGAAACCGGCTGTTCGGGGGACAAAGGGACGAAGGGCCCACTTTCCCGTTTTTCTGTTTTTTCCTTCGGTTTTGCTAAAGGTTAAACCAAAGGCTTGTTCAAACTTTCCTGTTTAAAACAAAAAGACAAGTGATATTTGTTTTCTCAAAATTGTATTTTTCCCAAAATAAATAAATGTTTGAAAATCCACTCCTTTTAAAAAGTAGCGGTGTGGAGGATGGGGGGGAAGGAAAGGACAGAAGAACAGTGTATTCTGGGTTTGGAAAATAAATTTATTTGATCTGTCGTTAAACAAGGTTGATAAAATCAATTTTATGGCTTTCGTTGGTTTTGATGCATTATGAAATCAGTACATGGCATTAAAAGAGGACTTGTATCCCAGATTAATGGGAAAAAAAAAAGTGCTGTTGAGGGAAAAGAATTCATGAACATAATAAATCAGCCAACAGGGACCTTGAAACAGGTTTTTTTTTTTTTTTTTTTTTTTTAATATGGAGTACACATATCCACAAGGGTCCTAAACAGTGGAGCTGGGAATGGCTAAAGAAGGAAAATAAAAGAAAGTGCCAATGGAAATGTATCTTCTTACGGTGTTACAGTGGCGTAAAAATCCATCTTACAACAGCAACAGACTCTTAATATTATGGCCATCAGGGATACACAGGTTCTGTAGTTACGTTTTTCGGACAAGGACATATCCTATAAGCGTCTTCGTTCCAACCTAATCCCATCTCCCAGAGTGTCATTTCTACGTTTTGGAAAAGGATTTTTTTTTTATTTTTCTAGCTTTGGACGTTGACATTTTAGGCAGTACTGCAGCGTTGGGACAGACCGGTGTGTATACCCCAGAGCCTCAGCTGTACGTAGAGTAAATAAGGCAATTATCACAGTTTTGTATGTTGTCTAACAGTCAGTCATGGGGCTTTGTGTGTACAAATGCCAGTCGTGGTTTTTTTTTTTTTCCTAATAGGAAAAAAAAATTCAAAAATTTTTGGCAGAATTTCTGTAGTTACTCCCACCCTTTACCCTCCCTGTAGGGGCATCATTTTATTTCAACGCAAGAGTAAGTGTTTACCTGTCTGGTTATTTCCCCTCATCAGAAAAAAAGTAGCAGGTCACCCCGGCTCACATGATTTTTAGAGCAATTTTTGTATAAACAACCCCGAGCTTTCGACTACAACTTGTGTCCCTATAATAAAAAGGAAAAAAAAATAATGGAAAACAAAAAATAACTGGACACACTCCAGGTATGGTTATATGCTGGGGATTTTCACTGCTTCGCAAAAATAAATTGGCCAAGCCTTTCAAAAATACAAAATAAAAAAAGAAATATATTTACAGGAGCTTGGCAAACCCAAAAACAGTATTAAGTGCCTTGAGCCTGGTTGTTACGGTGGAAATGGCCATGGGGTTGTCGGTGTAGTTCCTTGGGGACGGTTGTGTATTGCACGGTCGAGGAGAGGGCTACCAGGCAATCTGGGTGACACCATACGCTCGAGAATCCGGCTCACGATCGTTAACTGAGCCGATCCAAGCACCCCCCCCCCCCTCACACACTACCACCGGTTTTATAAAATGTAGTTAGGACAGAGTAGTGAATCTGAAAAAAGGGGAGTTGAGGGGAGTCGGTGGGGTGGTGTGTACTGTTTGATGAAGGTCCTGTGAGGTTTGTAGTGTCGCCTGCTTTGAGCAAACAGGATGGAGAAATGGGGGAAAGGGGGGGAACTGAACATTTTGGCAGAGGAGAGTCTAGAGGAGGGGGGAGGGTAGTGGTGGGAGTGAGGAAACGACAGTGGACCGAGATATGCACACAGTCTGTCCTCCCTGACATGATGGGGGGAAATGGAAGAGGAAGACGTGACGAGCTCGGTTACCGCTCATCGGCTGCTCAGGGAGGGAGTGTGAATTTAAGTAATGGGCACTATGACAGAGAGAAAGAAAGAAACGTCTACTTCAAATTGACGCTATAGCCTTCATTGTCCAGGTGTTTGGGCCAGAAATTTATTTGCTGGTCTCGGTTAAGTACAGATTTGTCATGACATCCTGTTAGCAACATGCTCATCTTTGCTATGGATCAACTTACAGTGCTTAAGGGGAGGAAGAGTACACAGCGCGAGTGTGTTGAGGGAAGAGGACGGGTTAGGGGGGGTATGACAACAAAATATGGGTTAACAGAAGGGGAGGGAGGGGGGGGGAGGAGAGAAGGCAGAAAAAGAAAAAACAAAAGTAACTACCAATTAGGACTGGAAGTAGTGTGAATGCAACAGGGTGGAAGGGTGAGCTGCTAGGTGGCTGGGTACAGGCTGCTTTAGTATCCGGACTTCCTCAGGTACTCAGCCATCTGAAATGCTTTCTTGTTGAGCTGCCCTCCATGGACACCTTCCTTCCCCATGACAAAAACCAATGCTGGAGTACACAAAGGAAAAAAAACAACAAAATAAATGACATGGTGATAGCAGGGCTGGAAAATAAAGTACTGTTTTTCTCCTCTTATTGCCACCTTGCTAAATGTGGGGCTACACTGTTGAACCCTGCGCTTGTTAGAAATGCTCCTGGGACTTTGTTTAATGGGACTGTTCGGGCGGGAAACATGGACTTGACAGTAATTTATTTGTTTGTTTGTTTTTTTTGGTCTGTTGTTTTTAAAAGTTTTGTGTTTTTTGTTTTCCTTTTCATTTGTTTTCTCTCTCTCCCTCGACTACGGCACATAAGCTACGACAAAACTAAACTAAAACCCTGAATCCCTCAAGTATTTTGCCATCGAGTATGCCTTCTTATTCAATCCGCCTCCATGGACCCCTTCTTTGCCCATTACCAAGACCAAGACTGAAAGAAAAGAGACAGAGAAGGGACATTTAGAGAAGGTGCGGAGATCACACAAGTGAAAAGAGACGAGCACAGAGCCACAAGCAGCAGGCAGACGAGACAGCTACAGAGGAAGACAATGGCACAAAAAGCATAGCGGCGCTTTGGTCTGAAGGCTGTACCGAGCCTAAAAACACTCATTTTCTTATCAGTGCTGCTGCTGCTGGTGAAACAGGATGGCACACGTTACAATTAGGGAGACAGAGTGAGTACAGCGGGAGAATAAATGTAAAGGATGCATGCAGAGCTGTCGGTCAGTCTGTGCCCCTGTGATGACTCCGTAACCAGGCTGATACACGTTTACTCCACTTAATATCTGAACAACTTCCACTGAGTGAAAGCCACGTTTGATGTAGAAGACAGGAGCCAATAGCAGCACGTTATGGCCTCACAGGTAGGATGAGGATTGGACTCGATCCAAGTCACAATTTGACAAGATCCAAGTTTAATTCATTTCAAAAAGAAAAAGAAAAGCCATGGGTAGATGAGTTCTTCTGAAAAACGCCTGAATCCAACTCGCTAAAACTTTCACTGGAGCTGTATTGATTTAATGTCTTTACTACTGAAAAGAAAATATTCCCTCCAAGTTTGATCAATTCCACCTTCATCTACATAAAGTGTGAAACTGGCCTCTGAAAGCATAAAACCCAACCACCAGAATATAGTCCCCCAACATGTGTATTGATGGATTGGCTCTGACGCGTCTCGTCAGTAAGGGAACCCTCAAGTTTCTAAACGGCTGCCAAATCAGCTTCTTTATTTTAGTTCGACTGGTAACATATGCTACATGGTAGATTTGTTTTTGACTCCGCAGCCTAAAACAAACGACGGTAATCTACTGAGTGGTTTCATCTCGCCGTCCGTACTATCCGAGCTCACGCCACTCGAAGAGACGTCTTCATTTAATCAATATGCGGCATGCCAGCAGCAAAGACCAGGAAAGTGAAGCGTCTACTGAAATCTAAACCATGACTAAAGCAGCACACATGCAGATACGGGAGCATGCTGGTGGTACCTCTCCTCAATACATGTAAGAGCCCTGAAACACCTGAATACGGTATTGTACCAGTGGAAGCGTGTGAGCAGGGAACAGTCGTACGTCTGAGGGAAGGGGTGTTAACCAGGAAGGAGGAAGACGCATGCAGTTGGAGAAGTTTGTAGAAAATCGGATCCCGGCCCGAAGAGTGAGCCCAGTGTGGAGAGGAGGAGTGAGTTACAGTCTCACCTTCAGGTTTGAGTAGAGTCGGGGAAAGTGGGCAGGCCGGGGCATTGGGGCCCATACAGGCAACATGAAAACTGGCAAAACTCTCAGGCAACTTAACTTCAATTTCCTATATTGGCAAATGTTGTTGCACACAAAGAGAATTCATTATTGCTGCTAATGTAAAACAACCTCCAAACGTTTATTTAAAGGTAGTCACAATAAAATACATCTGTGGTTTTTAATTCATGTAATTTATGAATTAATCAGAATTATCAGGTGAAACATGGAATACACATTAATTATGTTAATACTTTACACATTTTTAAATGAATCAGCCTTCAAACAGACATCCAGGGGCCAGTTGTGTCCTCTCTACGCAGAGCACCAATCAGGTGCCGGCTTTATTGTTGTTCTGACACGAGCAGCGACGACGGGAAGTTACAACTGAATAACTCGTTACTGTTTCAGGTTTAGGGATCCGAACTGTATCCCAATATGGATTTTACTACTTTAATTATTCAATAGCATTTCCACAGAGGATATAATGCAGGTATATTGTTTTATCAGAGGTTTAAATATATTAAAGTTAAGTAAAAAGTTAAATCTGAACTAACAGAACTGAATCAGAAGGGCAATAAATATGTCAGGAGCAACGAGACATAACATCTCAAGACAACATGAAACAAGTGTATAAGAGGGGCTCGTGATTTGTTAATCTGTACGACGTCTTGGCTTCGTAACGTTAATGTAAATCATCCAAGTTAAACTGCAACAAGTATAATTGACAAAACTATTGGCCTGGAATATTTGGAGTGAATTTCTGCTCTGACTCTTAATATGATCTTTCCCTTCAGCTCTAAGACAGATTACATTTAGCAGAGATGCACTTGTTCCCCCATCATAAAATCAAAGGACATTCGGTGGTAATATCCTGCGATTTACACACTTGTAACACCTGTTTTGTGTCATATATTGAGGAAAGGTGCATTCAAGATCTATCCCACATGCACGGACAACACACAAGTTTGAAATGCGGCTAAACTAACGGCACTACTTCGAAGCAGGCTACGGTGTCGCTGCGGCACTAAAGTGTGTAGGGGTAGCGGTGAACGCGGGGGCTCACCTTTGCCGGCTCTGCCTACAGTAATGTTGTATGTTGGCTCTCCTCCTTGACTCTTTGTCCGGATGTCCATTGTCCAGTCGCTGTCAACGTGGAGGCTGTCTCTGATTACGGAGCACTTCTTATTGCCTAAGGTCATCCCACTGGTGAAGAATCCCTCCCGGTCCTTTCCTATTAACACGTCGATTTCTTCGGGCTGAAAGGGGAAACACAAAATCCATCAGTCAGGTAAACTTCTGTCAGTCTTATCGTGCATTCATTCAGGCAGAGACCCGAGTCTTTTTTGTTTTACCACAGTGATGCTTTGTGGGTGTTTTTCATTGCTCCCGTTGAACATAATTCTCCTGTATTGCTCTGTAGTGTGGGCGCTGTGAGATTTCTACGACCGCCACACCACAGTTTCATTCCTCCGCCTCTCCTCTTAGCTCCCAAATTCTCTCTTTCAGTCTACAAACACAACAATACCTCAGTGGTCTTAAAGTAAACTACATTTCTAATAATGAAATATTTGGTCCACACATTTAACGCTGCCGAGAACTGATATTTATGCTCGTAGGTTTTGAACACTGATAATCACTAGCAGCATTAAATCATTTTCCCTTTTAATTTTAGTTAACGATTAACAAAATGGTGTGAAATACTGGACACTTGTACCAACAGCTGCACAGAGCCAGTTTCTCTCACAACAGACAACAACTCACCTGCAGCCCTCACGTGTGGCTTTTCTTATTATGAGGTTACATAAACCATTAAGATGTTTATACGTTGAACCATATATTCCACCCTCAGTGCTCATTTTGTGAACTTGGACGGCTTTAAGGTGCAAGTCTACAAAATATTTGGAAATATGTTTTTCTACCTGAAAAGACTGGAGATAATCTGAGGACTGAGGATTTCACTGAACTCATACATCCCAACAGGACAGAGAGTAAAGTGATGCTTCAGACTGCCTCTAGTGACGGGAATATTATGTTCAGGCCTTTTTAATCTTTCACTTCTTTATTGCATGTAATTTTGGTAATCTGGGATTTACACATGTCCTACTAATGTGAAGTTTAAAATGCTTTATATACATTTAGAGTAGAACATTGTTAAATCTGCACCAACTATGATCCAACTGAAAAACAAACTTAACTAAAACCTAATCCTCAATTAAAAACGTACAATACCTGAATCTGAAAAGGACCTTTGAGTCCAATTTACATAATTAGATCAAATGTATCCTAGAAAGCGATATAACTACATTTTGTTTAACATATCTGAATGTAAAAACACAGCAAGGGACTGCTTCTGTAACTGGCCTAGATGGTTAAGTACAGGTATGATTAATTTAAATTAAGAAACAGGGTTGCACTGTTCATGATTATGAGGTTACAGTACTGTTTAATACTCTTTAGTTGGATAAATTGTCCTTTTCATTAACCAAAAATGATCCAAACTTCAGTCTTAATCTGTGTTTAACGTTATATAAAGACTGCATCCATGGCTTTACTTAAATTTGTAGATGGAATTAAACAGAATACATCTCAAATTTAAAAAAGTGATTTGTTGAAAACCTTAATAAAATTACTGATTTTTTTAAATGTATATATTTTTTTACTTTCTATAAAGTTGGTCAAGACAGTAGACTGTAAAAGTGTTTAAAGACACAGCTGACTCCATTATACTACCACTGGCAGGTCCTGAAATCTCAGAGGCCCATTACAGCTGACAAAAACATTATGCTGAAAACTTGTAAAAAAAAAAAAAATGCACTTTGTGTGTCCACTGCTGCTTACATATACAAAATATATATATTTAACCGCACTGTCTGTAATTAAAGACATGTTTATTAACCCGGCTCTTTGAAGCAATCTGCAGAACAAAAGGCGTCGCCCCTCAACTCCAGAACTGCACAGTCATGGCACACATGAAACCCTTCAGGAGAAAAAAAAAAGAAAGACGAGGAAACTCAAAAGGGTTTCTACTGCCTCAGATATGGTTAGCATGGCGGCTAGCTGCATGTCGGGGCCCGGTTTAATTAATTACATTCACCATCTTTCCTCAGGGGGGGATCCTATTTTTTTCTGCTTTATTCCCGCATGAAACTTGCACCGCTCCCCCCCCCGCACACACACACACACACACAGTAAATGTAGGCCATGAAGACATATTTAGCCTAGTTGTTGTTTCAGATATTTCCAGAACTGAAGCTTTTATGACACAAGAAGAGGAAGTCAGATTGATCAGTTTTTAAAGACGGACACACACACACACAC